AAAAATAAAAAAAAAAAAAAAAAAAAAAAAAAAAAGAAAAATTTTTTTAAAGAAATTGAAGTAGTTCAGACAAACTGCCTTCCTGATTATCTTCATATTTTATAAGATGATAAAATGACTCGTTGTTTTTTTAGTTTATATTTTTTTTTCTCAACAAGATCATGATCCAATCGATTATCAATGTTATTATTGTTGTCACATTAGTCTCAATTTGGCAAATGTTTACGATGCTTATAATAATAATAATCTCGGTACCGAAGTGTATGGACTAAAAACAAGTAATGTAGATTACAATTTGGATAAGCAATAATCTTTTCAATACAACATTACTCTTGGATAGCACCAGGAGTATGCTGTGATCTTTCTTGACTAAATCCACGTGTGCCATCTGGCCCTCTTGGTTGCCTAACTATAGTTAATTTAGGACCTGTATCTTCCAAAGATGTAGTACGTAATCGACTAATCAAACGTTCGGGTCGTTGTTGAACGGCATCACTGTACAATAAAGAAAAAATATGAGAATTAAAGAAGATATTAATAATATAGTAAAATATGTAAATAAATTATAGAAAATTCACCTTAATCGTGTTACATTGCATGCAGATGATTTACCAGTACGCTGATTCGTAATTAAAACGAATTCAACCTGATCTCCTGGTTGAAGTATTGCATGATCTCGAACCTCACTCATGTGGAAAAATAATTCTTACCTCATCAACTTCATATGCAAGAAAACCAAAAGGGCCTTTTACTGCATCAACTGTTGCTCTTCTCTTTTTTCTAACTGCTACGATATTACAAGCATGACCTGCTGAATCCACCTGTAATTGTACAGGATCACCAGCTTGTAACAGCTCACGTTTATTGACAAGTCCCATAATTCTGAATTCATATTCAGGAGTATCTTCATCTTCATTAGTAGCATTTATTTTTATTAAGCCAGCATACTCTGCCTGGTCAGGATTTGCACTTCGTAAAGGTCTAATAACTGTTCCATCAAGCACTTCACTAACTGGTGTTGGCCTAGGAATGCTTCCACGAGGTACCAATTTAACGTAATCCGCGGCTACACAACCACCATTACCTCTACCATTTCCAGAACTGATCGTACATTCAATATCAGCTCCTACTTCTAAAGCATTAACATCCCCTTCAAAATTGCTAAAAAATAAAAATATTATAAAAGATATATAAAATATAATATTCTCAAACATATTTAAATTACTTACCTGAAGTGAAAAAATATTCTTATCATGATTTACAGTTTCAATAAAACCAAATCCATCTTTAAGTGCAGCAATAAAACCTTGACAAACTTGTCCATTTAGTTTTTTGTTGCCATTTTGAGTTTTTTCACCGGAAGAGTTCATTAGAGATATGTCAACAGCAACAAGTTCTTTATTCCGTTTTACTTGACAGATACTAAATTGAACCTAAAATACCAATACTTTTAAAAAATGTATTAATAAAATCATAATAATGCATATATGTATATATATATATATGTATATATATATATATATATATATATATATATATATATATATATAT